ACTCAGGACTTTTATGCTCATATTTGTTGCACTTATAGCAGCGAGGGCTTTTAGAAAATCTTTTATTTTTGTTGTGGAACTTCTGACTTGTAGCAAGAGCTGAAGAATCACTTTCATTTTGTTTAACATCTTGTAATAATTTTGATTTCACTGAGTCAGAAAATCTTCATACCTGAGCTTTCAATGGCCATTATCATTGGCTTGTAACTTTCTGGAAGGCCGGACAGCAAAAATGTGCCTAGCCACTCATCGTTCACAATAAAGCCAATATTCCTTAACTTACGAGCTGTTGTCATTATTTTACTGACATACTCCTCTACATTTAAACATCCAGCTAGTTTAGTATTGCATAAGTCACGCAGCAGACCAACTCGGCGTGTTAGCCCGGAGTCGTCGAAAGCGTGAGGTAAATTTTCCCAAACTTCTTTCGCAGTGCGTGATTCACGAATATGAACATAGTCAACAGGATCGACAAGCAGTATTATTTTCGATCTGGCTTTAGTGTCAAGCTTTGTGTCAATTGCGCTTGAATTTACACATTCCACGCAATCCCATAATTCCTCATGTTGCAAGTACGTTTTAACAGCAAAACGCCATGTGGTGATGATATGCTGAATTCGAAATAAAACTCAAAATTTATTCTGAAAACTGAGCACGTTGCCTTTGTAGGTTGTCTTTTACAAAACTGATTTTGACATTGATTTAGTGGACTTTATGCACTGATTTTATTTATCGGGCTTTCTGGGCCCATAACCTGTTGCTTCAAGTCCTAATTTACTTAAATTATTATTAAATGAAAATAATATCCTTTTCTAAAGAATTTAAACAAACATTTATTAGTGACAAAATACAACACTTTTAAACTAGTAATGACCACAGAGTAGAGAGAGTGCTTTTTTATCATAGAGTATATAATTATATACAAGAGCACAGATTATAGAAGGCGCAAATTTTTATTACAACAAAAATAATACTTATAGAAATAATAATAATATTCTCCAGACCGAATTTCGGTTACGTCGGCCAGCCTCAATGGAATCTAGCCATCTGTGCAAGACAGGACTATAGTGCAAGGTTGTCTGTGCAAACACACTCAATTTAAAGGTTGTACAAACTACAAAATTTACTTTAGAAACAGGAAACTTTGGACGCGACCCTCCCATTCAAAGGAGTTATTATCAACAATGTATTCATTTATAATTACCATTTTTATAGTTTTTTGTTTAAATTTAAACTTGCTGGTAATAAAGAGACCCTGTATGATTTCTGGGACTTTGTTGTAATAGTGTATAAATTGGCCCATGAATGAAATACTGACTGGAGTTGATAAACTGGTATGACCAGCTTGTGTTTGTTCCTAGTGTTTACAGAGCGTATATCACTTTTTTTACCAAATGATTTTTACTTCTGTTGTGGATTGTGATGGGACGGAAATCCAACACGATCGGAAATCAGGTGCAAAACCAACAGCTTTATGTGCTTTCCGAGGCACGGGGTTGAAGTACCGCCAACTTCCTGACTCCAGGCTGATACTGATAATTTTTTGACAGAGACATCCAAAAATTGATTTTTCCCAACCCGGGATTCAAACCCAGGACCTCACAATCAGCAGTGGCGCTTACAACCACTAAGCCAAGAAGGCAGTCGAGATGTGAGTATCTCACTAGTTCACGATCAGACCATTTTTGGAAGTGGATTCACTCTTATTGCTAAGTGAACCGTGTGGTGAATTTACAACCATACGTTTCACACCTTTGAGACCACTTCCCTTTATCGGTTGTACGTAATACTATTATTTATTCTTTAGTTGGAGTCGTTTATATATATTTTTATAATTACGTTATGAAATATGGATATAACTTTAATTTTCGGAGGTGACCGATATTCCAATAATTTCCCAAAAATTAAGTCGCCTTTTACGATATGCTTTTACCGTGATAAGATTGGCTATAGCATTTTTAACCGACTTAAAGAAAAAAAGAGGAGGTCTCAATTCGACTTTTTTTTAAATGTTATCTAGGAAAACCGATTTTGATAATTTTTTTTAATTGAAAGCTGGTGCTTCTCGTGTGGTTCCATATAAATGTGATCAAGATCTGACCAGTAGTTTTAAGTTATCCTCAATAAAGCGTATTTAAATGATTGACTACATCGATGATGTTCTCATTTTATTTAGGTATATTGAAGTGGGTTGTACAAAATTTTTAATTTTACAACTTGTGTACGTTAGTAGTATGTTGTACGCTGTAACGTTAGTACATAGTTATTAATGCACTGAACATGCTCCAAATATTTCATTTGGAGCAATGGGCAACACTAGTTTTTATAGGTTTATTTTATTTAAAAAAAAAAGAATTCAATACCATCTAAAATCAATGCCCCAGCTTCGCACGCGTGATTTCTGGTTCTCGATAACAGCGCCATCTACCGGGTCCAATTGTAAATAATATAAACAATTCTCAAATCAACTTAATCGACTGTGTAACACATATTTAATCAAAATCGAAAATCGGTCCAGTCGTTTAGGAGTTCAGTCACATACACACAGACGGAAGATTTATATATATATATATATATATATATATATATAATAAAGATTTTCAAAATTTTTGTTTTAAATATAAATAAATTAAATAATGGAATAGGACTACAGTCAAACCTGGGTAAGTGAGAACTGGATAAGTGAGAAAACTATAAGTGAGAGTAATAGCCAGGACCCGTCATTTTAAGCTTCCAAAACCTCTATTAGCGAGAAACAGAAATCTCTGTAAGAGAGAGTCGTTTTTCTCTCATGGACCTCCGTAAGTGAGACTGCTACTTATCTATACCTCTATAAGAGACAGTCGAGCTTTATTTATTTATATTATTTAGAAGGAAATATAGCTACAATAAAACTACATAAAAGATACAGTGATTAAATGTGCTGGAGACGGTCCATCAGTATTTTGAATACGCAGCGGTTGTTGATCAAGCAATATTCGACAAAATTTATGAGTTAGAGAAAAACATTCAAAATACAAAAACAGAAACCCAAACGAAATCGACGGATTTTTAAAGTGTAAATAAGTTCTAAATTAAATAAAATAACATAGTGCATGATTTTTTTTTGTTTTCGTAAGCATCTTGATACCTACCCTTATAAAGTACTTATATGTCGAAATCTAATGAACGTAACATACACACTATATAAAAATATATATGTACATAATATATGTTGTGCATATTATTCACCTAATTTTATCATATTACATATTTACTACATCCGTACTTGCTGTGACTTGTTATTGCTGCGGACCTCTATGAGAGAAACGCTACCCATGCACCTGCATTAGCGAGAAACTCGGGTTAGTGAGAAACCTCTATAAGCGAGAATGAGATTGTGCTCCCTTGAACTCTCGCTTATCCAGTTTTGACTGTATATCCTGAGCTAATTACAATAAACATAGCTAACTGTCACATTTATTTCATACCTAGTTAATAATATTTATAATTAGTTAATAGGCAACACGTTTTAATATCTTGAGTACACTATCTACGTGCAGAAATTTATTTGCTATCAACATAAAAATTTATTAGCGATCAACACGAATATTAGTTCTATTGACCGCTGCATCTAACCTAAAAAACGCTTGTGCAGTTTAGAGCAGAATTCGAATGCAGTGATATAAACAAAAAGTGGATACGACTCAACTTGAAGTTCTCGTCTCTATGAGTCTCCGAAATACTTTTTATTTTTGGCTGAGTGATTTGTAAAATTAGCGGAAGGGTACTTCGATGAAAATTTAAAGCATTCTATGTATTTTTAGAGAATGTACAAGTACAAGTGTGTGATTGGGTGCGTTTGGCAGAAAAAAGCGTAGCAAGGCTTATTTTTGCTTATTTATTTGTTTGTTGATAGAGTTTTTAAGTTGTTTTGTGCAATTTAGTTTTAGTATTATTGAATAAACATATACATGTTATTATTTATGTTTTCTGGTAAGTTTTTATGATACTTTATGTGTGGGGAGTTTTTGCATTTGTACAAGATGATAGTGCCGATCACAACTAAATGTTTGTGCCTCACTCGCGGTTTACTTGAGCCACTTTTTGCGGCTAAATACCGTATCTATGCCTTTTGTGTTAATCAATAATCGTATCGCAGCAACTGTCGCTAACAAAACTAAAAATTACAAAGTTTTACTATAAATACTTAAAATAAAAACAGATTTGAACATTTATTAACATTTCATAAATGCCTTGGTTACCTGAGGCCCGAGGCTAGTTCATCAGCTCTGGCATCTTATCCTTGCTTACAATTTAAGTTCAGCACAAGCAAGGGTATTTACAATTTTAAATACTTACATTGAAATCCATTCGTATCTTTAGATTACAGATTCTTGCAGTGATTCGAACGTAATATGACTGCCAAAAATGATGGCGTTTGTAGAAAATTGTGAATTCTACAAAATTATTATTAACTTTAAACATTTTTATTGCATAGCCGTAGCAGACGACGAAGGAAAATATCGTGACAATACCTGCATGTCTGAGAAATTAAATACATATTTAGAAGGCAAGTCCGAGAATGCGCATTAGCGCAGCGCGGAAGATATTTCAATAAATGCCGATTGATTCCAATCAGATTTTTCATGCGTCAGATAAAAGTTATGCACCAAATAACCTAACTGAATATAAAAGTGAAACAATTGAACTGTTTTCTTCATACAACTGTAATTGATAATTTTACCTAATAATTTTTTTTATTGGAGGATTGAAATATCGTTAACGTCTTTAAGATCAACTGCAAATTAATTTAAATTATTGTTAAATTTTAAATGTTAAGGGGAGACTATAAAAAAACTAAACAGGTAATTGATATGTATTAAAAAAATATAAAAAATATTACAAGTTAAATTCCATAACAATTTTAATTTCATAGGAAATCAAAACTAAAAAATTACAAAGTGTAACTTAAAAACATATATTGGAAAATATATTATAGTACAGTATTTCGAAACTCGCTACTTATTCTTGGAGAGAGTCCTCTGTTTTTCCGCGTGCTGTACAAGCTGCTTATCGGTGGCCAGTCCTTTCCTAGCTCGCACTGAGTCCACGTAGGCTTTAGCTCTGTTCACACCGTCCCATTTTTCGCCCCAGTGCAAATACTCCTCCTCTGTACGTGGTTGCCAGAATGGATCAATGTCTATCACCTGTTGAAAATATATATGTATGTATTTCTTATATTTACGCGAATATATACTGCAAGTATAAGACACTCAAAGAAGAAGATCAAAAGATAATAATTAAAGTTCTCAGTCCATCCCTTCCGGGGGGCGATGGGGGGTGGTGGCAACGTCGGGAGTTAAAAAGAATTCGCCAAATTAGTTTTATTCAATGTTGTAGTAAATTCAATTTCAAATTTATGGGTTTGTTTCTTGGTCTTTATTAATCAGGACGACAATTTCTGAATACTGTCGGAAGTTAACAGATTCCAGTCAGAACAAATGTCGTTTTAACTGGAATTCAAACCAAACTAATTAATATAGAAATTTTGTCATCAATGTTGAGAAATTAAAAAATCAGTTCTTCACTCACCTCCCAGTGGCTGAACATAAGTTGTGGTGCCGCCAAGCCTGAGGTGTGCGTGCGCAGCTCGAGCGCGAATTTGAAACTCTCAGCGACGGGCATCAGCGCGTGCACCCGGAATGATGACGAGCCGCTTTGCAAGTCGCTGCCTACAACACGACCGCCTCGTCGCCCAAGAGCGGCGTATAACTTCCCTGTAGACCACAAAGGAATAAATCGATCAAACTAAGCATTCATCAAGTTGACTTGCAGATTGAGCAAGAATTTTTGATTAAAGTATAGACTTATTAAATTAAAAAAATAAGCTACATCTGAGCATTTGTAGTAAATTATTTAAATAATCATCAATATTCGAGCCTTTTCAAATACACAGTCCGGCACTTCTATTAATTTGCCACCGCCAGTTGTAGCACGAGGCGATACTCTGGCGCTGAAATATATTTCTATAATATCAGATCGTTAATCGAGGTAATAGTCCACCTGATAATAAGTAGTTACTGTGGACAATGGATATCTATAAACAAATTTAAACAAAAAAGGCCGCAGATGTGTTGCCACTTCTGAGGATTACGATAAAATGCCTTTCCGTAAAGCTCTCTTCTCTTTTAATCGGAATACTGGGTGGTGGAACAACTCTTTGAAAGAAAGGACTTCCAGGCAGAATTGGAAGGAAGGAATCTGGGAACAGTGGTGAACCACGATGCTATTATGGCAACATGGTCCGCTCGACCAGGAAAGGAAAGACTCCATCTACATTTTCACAGAATATTCGCGTAATATAGTGCGAAGTTTTTAATTGGTTACATTAAATTTGTATAGAATGATTTTCTACATAAACAAAAAATAATTATTTTGTCATAACCATAGGAAAAGATCTATAAAAATATGGATATAATTAAATCATTATTTGAAGTGAAACTCAAAGCGAGCAAATCATAATGGTCAAGTTAAGTTTTCTATCTAAGTAGGACGATTAACTTGCATTAAGTGATCAACTGACAATATATGTCTTCTAGGAAATAATAAAATATAATACTCCTAGCTTATTATAAATTACAGCGATATTTCTGATTGCAGCAACAGCAAATATAAGCATGTTGATATGCATATAATGGAGTTGTAAAAACTGCCGCAGGTAAAGTATTGACATTTTATTGCAGAGGTTGTTATGTTCTTATATCGCTAAGCGGTGTGTTTTACCAACGAAAAAGGCTATGACGATCGACAAAAGGGCACTACCTTTACCGGTGCGGGAGTACTTGTGGTCCCCCCAACAAGCTTTCGGCTGACCTGAACTGCCTCCTGGCGGCTCAGGCCGAGCCTACTTAACACATCCCTTAATCTACCTTAGTTAGGCACACTTCTAATTTTCGCGTTCGTATACGGCTTAGAGATCTCTCGTCAGATCGGTAAGCCAATCTCTAAAGGCGGTGTTTAGTGGGTAAAAGTCTCCACATAACCACAGCATTCACCGCCTCTTTCCGGAGGGTTGCCCTTACGCAAAAAAATGTACTTGTGGTGAATTTGGGTAAATCATGGACACGGACATGGGAGGTTTCCTAAAAATGTTTTCCTTTACCTTCGAGCACGATTGGTGCCGGTGGGGATCGAATACAGCGAGCGCTTAGCCCTCTCAGCTAATACGGTTCTTAGGCCTAAGAATAGAATTATTTTCTAAAAACAATCGCGAAAATAAGTGTGGGAAATGCGCGTATACTTGGGTGTACGACTCGTGCTACCTGTATTAGTACGCTGTGAATGCTTGTGAACAAGAACAAATGATGGCTGTATGGCTTCTTATCTGAACCGGTAGATGTCCTGTAGCCAAATTAGCAAAAAGCAAATCTCCAACGCATTAAAGGCTTAGTAAAGACTACAGCCGGAGTCGACGACTTTGGCCGCGGATGTGAAAAAACAGAACAACCTAAAAAGTTCGCCCCGTGCGATCGTTTGACAAAATATTTAGTGACCAGTCGAGTAGAAAAATTCCTGCTCTTTTAAAAAGATTCGCTGTGGCCGTTTTAAGATTAAAGGAGAGCTTCCGGTCACGGCCGTGTGCATCCGGTTTAATCGGTCGCGGCGAGATTCCACTAAGCCTGAGCGCGTTTTTTATATGCCACGAAAATAAATAACTGACAACAAGTTTATTATCTTATAAGAGAATGACTAGGATCTTTCGGATCTAACGGAGGCTGGGCTGAGTGTTCCTGGACTTGCCTTTTATTAAGTTTCTTTATTGATTAAATAAATTAAAATGTATTGTAAACATAACCATGCAGGATAATATTTCAGAACTTTAGACATTCAGAACTTTTGAAAACTTTTTAAATCTTAATATACAACATGTAACAAAAACCCTGTGGTTCCCGTTAAGTCAATCAGTATCCAAGCGCATAGAAATAATTTTTTTTTCAAAAAAACATTTAAAAAAACTAATTTTAATGAAAAAAAATATAATTTGCAAATTATATGTGGTTTTATTTCCTCTAACTCACACGAGTATCGGTAATGCGGGGTCTTTGACAATCCTCTTACTCCTCGGCCAATGCAGAGACAATAAAACCACATACAATTTACAATTTTTTTTTCATTAATTTTTTTAAATGTGTTTTTTTTTTGAAAAAAAAATTATTTCTATATGCTTGGATACTGATTCTGATAACGCAGTTAACGGGAACCACAGGGTTTTGGATACATGTATATAAATTACGTGTCACGTTGTTTGTCCGCGATGGAATCCTAAACTACTTAACCGATTTTAATCAAATTTGCACACCGTGTGCAGTTTGGTCCAACTTGAGAGATAGGATAATCTTTTTGCCCACAAATTTTTTTTGCGAATTTAAAGATTTTTAATAGGACATGACAAATTGTCGTCGAAAAGGGCAGAATAAACTCTGCCTAGCAAGCTAGTAAACTATATAAACGTACTTTAAGGCTGAAGACAGTTTTGGTTTTTTCTTTTCTGTATTGAAACAAAGAAATATTTATTGCAAACACGCCACACATGTAATTCGATGCTCACTGTTCTGTACAAAACGTCAAGAAACCATTGAGAGTACCAAGCTTAAACTATGGTTTTAGAAGAGTCTTTCTAACTTAAGAACTTCCATAGCCGCGGCACCATAGCAAAACTTGCCATTTGCTGTAAAATTCCATACTAAACATAGGTTACATATTATATATCACGCGGGATTTCATTTGTTATATATTTCATTTGTTTGCCTTAATCCGAGAATAAGATTAAAAACAGACAGGATTTAAAAAAGTTATTATTTATGTCTTAATAGCATGCAAAGAACCCCCTAAACTAAATAGAAGCCATTTCAATATTAAAGGCAGATACTCCAATTTTATATGTATAGATAAATTTACATTTTTTTATTGAAAGTCGGACACAGTTGGTTGCGTGTGCGGCCAAATTAGGCGGAGTCTGGCTTTTGTTAGGCTTTTTAAATTTGACAATTTCTTCACATTTTTCAAATATTTGCAATTGCAATCATTGAAATTAATTTTGTAATGAATAATTAATTATAAAGAAGACTAATTTATTCGATTGTTGTTATTTCGTTAGAACTTAAGATTTTACGGTAAATGGTAAAAAACATTGTTTTACTTTTAAAAAAATGACTTTTACTAAAACAAAAAAATAAGGGTGTCCGGCCTTTTTACCAAAATGTCCGGCAAAGCTCCGGCTTTTCGGTTTTAATACCTGGCAACCCTAATCACATGTGTTGTGGCGCGTTGAGCAAACGGATCTCACATAGCTGGTTTTCAGTCCGAACGGCGAATAAGTATCGATAAAAAAGAGGGATTATTAATCATCCCTTTTTAATTTATAAACCTTTATAAATTTTGTTTTCGTACATAACGTCTACCTCCACCTGCATCTTGAAACAAATATTAGTGCTTCAGCTCGACATTTTTAGGAAGGACTGGAGTTATAAACTAAAAGTTGAACACGCTTTGATCATGAGTTGCGATCATCCTGGTGAGAATACTAGGTCAATGTTATGACATCATTGTACTGTCATTTGATATTAATACGCCCACATGATTTCAAATTATTCAGACGTCAGGGTAAAAACTGAATTACGAAAATTCTTCAATTACATTCATACTTACATAGAGATAGGTACATACAGGTCAAGGTAATAGAAAACATGTAACAAAATTAAAACAAACACGTAAAAGTCCAATTAACTAAAAGATAATTACAGTAAGCAGAGTCGCCTCGCTAATTTTAATATTTTTTTTATTAAATAAATACAAAATAATAAAATATTTATAATTATATCCTGTGCGGCTACCCTACATAATGTACTATAATTATGATCATCCTGTGCCTGTAAATGGGTAAGGCCGTCGTTTTTGCCACTTTTTGATGAAAAAATATTCTCATATTTTCATTGCTTATAGAAAACAACATAGTGGGTAAATTGTAATGGAGGTATTTTAATTAGGTTATACATTTCTTAAACTCTTACAACATATTCTTAATATTAATATAAGTTGTACATTAAAAAAAATACAACGAGTTAAATTCGTCCAGACTCCCAAATTTAACGAAAAACATGCTGTCTTTTTAGCATTTAAACTATAAAACTTATATTTTTGTAATGAACGTTAAATTAATTTGTGACTATCTGAAATTTCTTAATAGTAAGCTACTACATCGTGCTTTTCATGTCTTTAATAACGCGTTTTTTTATAGATTTATTACTATTTAAACTTATGTTCCATATTTTTGCTTCTACGTTACTACTTTGTATGTTACCAAAATTTTCCCTTACAAAGCATTGAAAACAGTTTGATAGTGTTTTGTAATTGCACTGGCAACACTAAGTATTCAGGCAGCACAATTTAAAAAAAAAGACGCCATCTTATCGTGTCGGAAGTCTGTCAAAGGTGCACGCGTGTGTTTCGGCAGTGAATTTTAATTGTGAATTTTGGCGATTTCAAAGGTAAATATCAGTTTTTATTGTTCACATATTATATATTATTATGTACGAGTAACTAATAAGTGCGTGGTAATGTGTCTATGTTTAAAATTCACCTTGATATCGAGTTATGTCTATATATAACCCTGAAAAATCGCACTTTAACGTTACTTCTATGTAGCTTTGATGTCACTGGTAACGTTGATTGTATGTTTCGTAACGTTTTACTGTTGTAAAGGTTTGTGCATATGTAATTTATTAAATATACTTTTTTGTTAAAAATATCTACCTTTTTTTTAAGTTTTGATCATGTAGAGTAATGAAAAATCCACTCAGTAATTTTTTTATTTGATATACAGAGGGCATTTTTTTATTTGGTTTCCAAGCAGTTACTAATTACCTACTTATACTTTTATTTATTGGTATAGATTGTTTTACGAAATTCAAAAAACGCATAAGACAAGAGTAGTTTATTTGCCTTAATTAATTTGTGTCATTTAAGTAGTGGAAACTGAAAAAGAAAGGTTTTTAAACCATATTTTTGTGCCACTAAGTGGAAAAATAAAATAAACTCAAAAAAGTAAAAAACGACTTCAAAAAGAATAAAGTTTAATCTTTTGTGAAAAACAATTAAGGATATCGATGCCAATTGTTTCTAAAAATTAAACCAAATCTAACTGTTTACCACGTATTTTTTTAAAGTTTGTTTTTACTTTTTTAATGTTTACTTCGATATTCGCGCGAACGGTCTTCTCTTTCTAGCAAAGGATGTCGATTAGCGTTAAAGAGAGATACACATACGTACAAAAAAATGTGTTGCGAGGCGGGTAGTGTGACCCTTAGTATGTATAATAAGTATAATGTATTAAACATGACTGTATGAATGAATTAGAGCCCTTAAACCATACTATCCCTTTACTTTTCTGATTAACAATAAAACAATATAAACATTGTCACAGATGCCGCCGACGACTGCAGCTGAAAAGCAGAAAAAATATCGCGATAAGTTGAAAAAAGAAAACCCTCAAAAGTATGAAGAAATACAAAAGAAGGCCAAAGAAAGATCTGCACGTTACTATGAGAAAAAAGAGCACCTATGCTGAAGAGCACAAACAAGAATTACGGAATAAATGGAAGGAAGATCAGAAAAAAGCAAAAGATGCAAAAATGGCATCACAAAATGAACCGGGTACGGCACATACTTCAAATTCCAAGCAAGATAATAACCAATTAACTTGCCGTAATATGCAACGCCGAATTGAATACAGACTGGAACAAGAAACTGCACAACTGAGATTACTTACTTATAGTTTCAAAAGTCTTCGGAAAAAAACGAATAGACAACAAAAGAAAATAGACAAGATGCAGGCAGATTACGAAAATTTATTAACTAGATTAATCACGTCAGATGAAACAAAGGACACATATACGCGAGAATTAGAAGAGAAAACACCGAGGAAAGAAGTAACAGAGTTCATAAATAATAAAATACCTAACATTGAAACTCCCAAAAAAGAAGAAGTTAAGAAGAAACTACTAGAACACGATGTACTAACGAAGTCACTAAAATTACAATTCCAAACTGCTAACAATACTGAAAAGAATGTTTTGAGAAAAGTTTTGGATAACAACATTGTGAAAAAATATAAACTGAAAACAAGATTAAGAACCTCCCTGGGATTTAAGAGTAATTTCAAAAACTACCGTCATCAGAAGACCAGAACCACTGCATTGCAAAAGAAAATTGAATGTTTTTTTAACAGAGATGATGTTAGCCGCACCATTGCAGGCAAAAAAAGAATACAGAACCTTCAAAAAAGTTACACGCCAAAAAAGATATTTGCTAGACAAACTAATCGTACTTCACAGAAAGTTTATCGCAGAAGAGGTCCAAATAAGTTTCAGTACTTTCAAAAAGTACCGCCCGTTTTACGTACTTTCTCCAAAAATCAAGGATTGTGAGAGTTGCGCGTGCAAAAAACATTCTAATATGCAATTTCTGGTTGATGAACTGAAATCCCTTAACATACTCAAAACTGACAATCTGAATGAGGTAACAACAGATTTAGTATGTGATTTTTACTCAAAAGATTGCATGTATAATAATTGTAATACGTGTTCAGAAATTAAATTAAAAGTTGATAACGAAGAACTGTCGGCTAAAGTAAGCTGGTTTAATTGGATTTTAAAAGACCACGAATATGAAAAGGAAGGAGAAAAGAAGAAAATTAAAAAGATAATAAAAATTAAGAAAGAGGGTACTTTACAAGACTTACTTGAGATATTTAGTGCGGAAATGAAACAATTTAAAACACATATTTTTAATTTTTATCACCAATATAAAAAATACAAAGATTGCATTAATAATTTAAAAAGTGATGGATACACATATAGATTTCTCTGAAAATTTCACCTGCAAATACCATAAAGAAATACAGGCAATGCATTTCATAAAAGAACAGATTACCCTTCATACGGGAGTTATTTACATTAAAGGAGAGAATAAACCTATTTCTTTCTGTTCTATATCCGCCGATAACCAACACAATCCAGAGGCAATATGGGCCCACCTCGATCCTGTTTTACAATACATAAAGAGTAACTATCCAAACATCTTTAATATTCACTTTTTGTCTGATGGCCCAACGACCCAGTATAGATAGAAAAAAACTTTTACTTATTCAGTGAAAAAGTCTATGAATATGGGTTTATTTATTGTACTTGGTCGTTTTTTGAGGAAGCCCATGGAAAAGGTGCCCCTGATGGTATCGGAGGGGCCATCAAACGAACTCTAGATGCCAAAATCGCTCAGGGGGAAAGACATCCCAAATGCGGAAACAGCATTTGATATTTTGAAATCGGAGGACACAAGTATCGAATTATTTTATATTTCTTCTGTTAACATCAAGCCTTTACACACAAAGCTTAGTCCTTTGGCGCAAATAATGAAAATTCATCAGCTGATAACAATAGAAAAGCTGAAACTCAAATACAGAGATCTCAGCTGTTTCTGTGGGGATCCTAGAGGCAACTGTGAATGTCACTCACCTGTAGTTCATAGCTTTTTGCCCACTATTTACGCAAACGAAAAACACACATCGAATAAACAAGAAAAATGTGAAAAGAAAAAGGAAGTTAAAAATTCAAAGAATAGCAATAAAACTAGGCGAAGGCGTTTCAGTTCATCAACCGAAGAAGACGAATATGATGATAGTATTGAGTATGCGGAAAGCGACGCCTCGGCGTTTTTTTCTGATGAGTCAATAAGTTCAGATTTTAACGACCATGAAAACAATCTAATCACAGAACTTGACGAAAAAACAGGTGTTCTGAGGCCAAAAATTAATCCAAACAAGAAAGTCACTCTGCTATCCACAATAATTTTAAAGAAACCTAATGCTGAAAATAATCCTAAACATGAAAGGAAAAGAAAAATAATTTGTGAAAATAAAGATTTAATCCATAAAAGATTTTGCGAAACTACGAAACATGTTACTGGGAAAGATGATGTGACAATTTTGTCACAAATAAGAAAAAACCCGGAAAATACTGCGAGTTTAAGAGAGAGTTATTTATTTGGAAAAAAAGACCCGATAAAGGAAATAAGGAGTAACAAAATTGAGACTGATAAAAAAAATCGACCAGAACAGGGAAAACAAAAATGATACCAAAGAAGAGAACAAAAAGAATTTGAAAGAAAAGTTTCTAATAGAAGAGAAGCACAAAATTGAGATTGAATGTACTAAGAAAGATGAAAGCAAGAAAATTCTAATTGTTATCGCAGAAGAAGAGAGAAAAGAAGCCGATGAAAATAAAGAAAATTATACAATTGAGACTGAATATAAAAACTACTTGAAAGCATGAGATGACAAAATAATACTGGTGAAGTTTTACAAGACGCAGATAAATATAAACAAATGGAGAAAACAGATTTAGATAAAATAAACAAATCTGAGAATTTAAAAGAAGATGAAAGTGACAAGGAATCGAATACAAAGGAAGAAGGAAAAAAAGCAATTGAGAGTGAAGAAAATAAGAAGAACTTTATTTTAAATATTAATGATAGCATAATAGTTCGATATTTCCAAAGGAAAACGTGGAAATATTTTATAGGATTTGTTGAGAATATAGAATTTAAGAACGGAGAAAATTATTATAAAGTAAAATTTTTTGAAAACTGTGAAGGATTTATCTGATTCCGTGAAGTTTGTAGTCCAAAGAAAATCAGATATTGATATAGTGACCAATATTTCTATCGTCAAAAAGGTAAATTTGATTCAACGGGAGAAAGCCTCTAAAGAATATTACCTGAGTACCGATATTGATTTGGTTTATTTTAATTGTTTTTTTTTTTATTTATTTAAAGGACCACAAACAGATTCACAATTAAATATATATAAAATATTCAAAACAAAGAAACGTAATTATCATTATGAATCCAACAGCGCTGGTCTCATTATACATATAATCTAGTGTTAAAGTGGAGCTCATCTTACATTATAACAAGTGTTAGTTAACTAGTTAAGAAATCATGAAGTAACTAATAAACATTATTAATACATGTGTGTGTGTGTGTGTGTGTGTGTGTGTGTGTGTGTGTGTGTGTGTGTGTGTGTGTGTGTGTGTGTGTGTGTGCGCGCGCGTGCGTGAGTCCACGTGCGCATGTGTGTGTGTGTGTGTGTGCATGCGTGTGTGTGTGTGTGTGTGTGTGCGTGTGTTTGTGTGTTTAAGAGTGGAGGTAGGTGTGTATGTGTTATTGCGTGTGATTTCGATGAGTTATGTGAACAATCAGAGCTGGATGTCTAGACAGTGCCAAATAGACAAGGCATCACAAGCCTGGTTGCCCTACAGCAGCTGCAACCTTGGGTTCGGAGACGTGTTTGGCAGGTACATGAATCTACAACCAAGCTTGCGATATACAGGAAGAAAATAAAATCATTTTTATGTGTTACTAAGCCAAGCCTATCAATGACTAATTTCTTGAAAGATGAATGTCGTAATGCAATAATATCGATATCATTGAAAATATTATTGTATGTTTTGGCCATACGGTGAAGTGGAGAACGAATGCCCGCATTCGTTCGGCAGGATAAGGTTGCAAACAATCTATGCGGACGTGTAGACCTCATTAATGATCGAGGAGGTACGCTATAACAAAGTTTGTTTGATATTTCTATAGAGTCATATCTATTATGAGTAAGATCATGTAATAACATTACTTCAAGTTGTGTGCGTCTAGATTTAAGATCGATTAAATTGTATGTTTTTAGTAACAAATTATACGACAATCGTTTGCGGTGGCATTTAAAATGTATGTATCGAAGATATTTCTTTTGTATCCTTTCAAGCATATAATTGTATTTTTCATAAAGTGGATTCCATATTGATACAGCGTATTCTAGCTGACAACGTATCAATGATTTAAATAAATATAAGAATGTAGAAGTTTGTTTAAACATAACACCTGACCTAATGACGAACCCATACATTCTAAATGCTTTATTAATAATGATATTGATTTGGTTTATTTTAATTGTTGAATATTTATTTATAACATGTAAGAAAGGTTTTGTATTGCAATGACCTCTTATGTACAGACGCCAGCACATTAGCCCACTCTAATCTGTCAAATTTCTTTAATAGATTTTCAACTTTAACACAAAAGTAGACGGTTCATGTTCGATTGAGAAAATTTGACAGATTGGGGTAGGTTGATGTTCTGGCGTCTGTACCTAGGTTAAAGAGAATTATGTAATTTTTGTTTTTACTTTTTTATGTTATTTCATTTGGCTACGAGATTTTTTTTAATTTTAAATTTGTTGTAATTACCTACTCGTATTTCTAAAGTATTTTTTAACTACAGATTCTAAGAAACATTTCGTGTCAATTTTATAAGAAAATAAATACCAATATTAGTTAGTTTCCTAGAAATGTACCTACTATTTTATTTAAGAAGATAACCCGTGTGTAATTGTAAAAACTTTTAGAGAAAGATTATATTGTTCTAATTTTGTGATTTCACGAAACACTATTGATCTCATTGTGTCAGCTTATTTTATAGGTTTAAATCATATTATAATGAATGTTATTTCGTTTTTTTTTGTTTTCGTTAGAAGAGTTTTTGAGAAACTCTATCCATGACATTAAATATTTTTGTTACTTCACTTATCGTAGTATTATTTTCCTGATATTTGGTAAACTTGGTCAGATTTCATGGTTGTGTAATAACTCTAAGCTGTTGATAGTTTTAAACATTTTTAAACTTATTTTTTTTTCTATCACTGAACTTCTCACAGTTGGCGAATTGTACAGTTAGCTTATGCGTCGAAACCTCCTCCTTTTTTGAAGTCGGCTAAAATAGCGCGTTATGCAATCGGCCTTACAAACATTACACGTTACTTTCGCGTTACTTCTATGTTACCGTAACATAAAAGTGTCTATGTTACTCTATGTTACTCTATGTTACTAAGTGGCAAAATCTACGGCCTTACCCAAATACGTCTTTTTCATATAATGTTCACCTATATTTATTTTCTTCTCTAGTCGCACGTTTCTGGTTTGGGGTTTTGACGTGTAGAGTAAGGATGGTTATACCTACTGCCATCTATTGGAAGCAATGAAGCAATGAGATCTTTTTAGCGATTACAAGTCGCCTATAGCGACACCCGTGAGAGCCAACTTAGCATTTATATTTAATCTCATTTACCGTGTAGTGGCGGTGTAGGAATATCCATACCTCATATCATCCCGTGGGTGTCGTGAGAGGCGACAGAGGGGAACAGATCAGGAGACGGGCACCAGAGTCTTCCTAATAACGACTAATAAAAAAAACTGCGGTTCCCAACCCGCTTCCTAAGCGTGGCGAATATGACAAATATGTGCCCTATGAGACAATTTATGGGGGAGGCCTATGTTCAGCAGTGGAATTTAAAAAGTTGTAACAGTGTAACGGATGGGACCCAATAGGGAAACGGTTTTTTTACGCCGTCAACGCGGTTAGCAGTAAATTTCTTTAGTACGTTTTCCTTCATCGTTGAACATAATGTCGTTAGTGATGTTATTCGGGCTTATATTGGCCACAATTTCAAATGTTTTCAATTGCTCTTAACCGTGCAAGACGCTGAACTTATTGTGCCTTAAGTCTGTGCTCAGGAGTTACAAACACAGGGTTACGAATTCGCCCATACCTATTTGTGACTTGCACAAATGCTTGCTTCATTTGGGTTTCAAAGTTCGAACTACAGTTGGCAAATTGATATTTACAATTTCATTGTTTGTGCACTAAGATCCAACTTGGGCCATGTCCCTAGCGTACACGTGGTAGAGTCGAGCTGCAGCCATATCGGTGGGCTCGACCGGAGAAAGACCATGTTCTCGCAGAATACCAGTGTAAAATAGCAGCTTAACATTACTGCATTTCGTCACAGAATAAATAATATTAAGTACTACGTAGTTTCGTATGATGAGTGTCGATAAGCAGACCCTTTTTACCGGAAACGAAGCATTCCTTCTTAGTCCTCGTGGGTGACAACACATCTACATTTTGATTCGTAATCGATCAGGATAGATGTAGATATCTATGGGCCACAGCAACCGCTTACCATCAGGTGTACTGTGTGCTCGTTTGTCACCCTTATCCTATAAAAAAATGCCCCAATGTTTTTTTTATACTAAAGTAGTGAAAACCGAAATCACAGTCCACCTGATGGTAAGTGAGTGTTGCAGCCCATGGGCACTTGTAACCAACTTCAAGAGAGGAACTACAAAACACTACGATGAGTTACCACGACGCGTCTCTCAACTCTGGCATGAGGTTGAAAAACCGTCAATTTCCTGACTTCGGTTTGCTACAAAGACTTTTTTGACGTTAAACCATAATAACAGACTTTGGCCCAACACGGGATTCAAATCCGGGACCACATGATCAGAAGTCGTGCTTGAGACCCCTAGACCAACGAGGCAGTCAAGGCAGTCGAAATGGTCTACATACAGGTATGTACATAGTAGAGGCTTATAATGATAAGATAAAGTTAAGTAAGCAAAAAAGTAAAATATATAGACGGCTCCATGGCGCAGTGGCTTTGCAATGATTTACAGCGCCAAAGGCCGCGGTTTCGAATCCCGCACGGAACAAGTATTTGTATGGGCTACAAGTGGTTGTTCCGGGTCTGTATGTTTATCCTTGTGAGATTTATGTTTGTAAACTGCCCTTACGATACATGAGAAAATCCTAGTGTGGAGGTAACGTTTTAGAAACAGAAAAAATAATAGTATACTTTCCACAGATGGGCACAAATGTCTCATTCCTGAAAAGGTTTTAGGCCAAAGAAAAGTCCAGCAAGCCACCTCAATGGTTTTTTGGAGACCTCACATGTATTCGAATTGTTTTCCAACTTCTCAGCCATGCAGGTTTCCTCACAAAGAAATAACCACTTGTTAAACCAATCGGGAACCGAACTTGGATTGCTTGAATATAAATAAATTTTACGGCGAGTGTTTATTCTCTAAGCTAAGAACAGTTTTGGGCTGTGAGACGGACGGATATTGGTTAGATTTCTGAGACGTTTCAGAGCGCTCGGATCGCGGTTAGCTGTACTGTAGTAATCATTATTTACCGAACGAAATCACAGGAAGTGGGCACCTCTCGCCCGATTCGGATTGCACG